GCGCAGGGCCAAAATTCGGGTCAAAATTATCGTCCTGGAGACCGTCGCCAAATGGCAGAAATGTGCTTCCAAAAGGCTCCCGGCCAGGATTTTGCCAAACACGGCCGTTTCCCAATGAGCCCAGAAGAGAAATTCAATAGCCAAATGGCAGAAAGTTGCTTCCAAAAGGTTCCCGGCCAGGATTTAGCCAAAAACGGCCAATGGCACTGGAGACCGTCCTGCTTCAAATTGAAATGAGAAGGGGCAGGGTCAAAATTAGGGTCAAAATTATCATCCTGGAGACCGTCCCGCTTCAAATTGAAATGAGAAGTCGCAGGGTCAAAATTAGGGTCAAAATTATCGTCCTGGAGACCGTCCCGTTTCAAATTGAAATGAAAGGGCGCAAGGTCAAAATTAGGGTCGAAATTATCGTCCTGGAGACCGTCACCAAATGGCAGAAATGTGCTTCCAAAAGGCTCCCGGCCAGGATTTGGCTAAAAACGGCCGTTTCCTAATGAGCCCAGAAAAGAAATTCAATAGCCGGCCGCGGCGCCGCCAAATGGCAGAAGTTTGCTTCCAAAAGGCTCCCGGCCAGGATTTGGCCAAAAACGGCCGTTTCCCAATGATCCCAGAATAGAAATTCAATAGCCGGCCGCGGGGCCGCCAAATAGCAAAAAGTTGCTTCCAAAAGGCTCCCGGCCAGGACCTGGCCAAAAGCGGCCAATGGCACTGGAGACCGTCCTGCTTCAAATTGAAATGAGAAGGGGCAGGGTTAAATTTTAGGGTCAAAATTATCGTCCTGGAGACCGTCCCGCTTCAAATTGAAATGAGAAGTCGCAGGGTCAAAATTAGGGTCAAAATTATCGTCCTGGAGACCGTCCCGTTTCAAATTGAAATGAAAGGGCGCAGGGTCAAAATTAGGGTCAAAATTATCGTCCTGGAGACCGTCACGTTTCAAATTGAAATGAAAGGGCGCAAGGTCAAAATTAGGGTCGAAATTATCGTCCTGGAGACCGTCGCCAAATGGCAGAAATGTGCTTCCAAAAGGCTCCCGGCCAGGATTTGGCTAAAAACGGCCGTTTCCTAATGAGCCCAGAAAAGAAATTCAATAGCAGGCCGCAGCGCCGCCAAATGGCAGAAATTTGCTTCCAAAAGGCTCCAGGCCAGGATTTGGCCAAAAACGGCCGTTTCCCAATGATCCCAGAAGAGAAATTCAATAGCCGGCCGCGGGGCCGCCAAATCGCAGAAAGTTGCTTCCAAACCAGGATTTGGCCAAAAACGGCCAATGGCGGAATTTCAACTAGGATCAGAATGAGGGTGAACATTATCCTCCTGCATGGAGGAAATCCTGGTAGAAGGAAAGAGAAAGACAAGACGACGCAAAAGCGCAATCCTCGGAAATGTTTGGATTTTTTCCACGGATGGCTGGACATGATCGTCCTGGAGGCCGTCCTGATTTTCTCAGGGGAAAAAGCCTGCTGGCGGAGCTAGTGCGGTTGAGCCGTGGCAGGCTTCAAACTCCTAGTCACCTATACAAGCCTGACTCACCCAATCGTTCTTTCCGACTCACCAAACGAGTCATTTCTGATTCACTCATTAGCTCGGGCCGACTCATCCGACCCGACTCACCCGTCACCCGACATAGTTCCGCATAGCTCAGAAAGGAGTTGGTTCAAAGTCGAGTTGGCTGCGTGAGAAGAAGAAACTCACGGAAGAGGCTGCTTACGGTAGAAAGACACAAGTAAGAAAGAACCCTAAGAAGAGGTAGCTCAGAGGTAGTTGGCTCAGAGGAAATTGCAAGTAGCTCAGAGAAGAGTTGGCTTATAGACTTAGACGGGGGTAGCTCAGAAAGAATGAGGAACTCAGAGAAGATTTAACCCACAGATGTGTTCGGATATATGAATACCTGGGGTAGCTAAGAGAATAAGTAGCTCAGAGAAAAGGCGTTTCAGAGATGAAATAGCCGAAAGAAGGTGTAGTTCAGACAAGATGTGGCTCATAGACATTGTGGTCCAGGGGTGAAATAGCAGAGATACAGAGTAGTTCATAGAAGGCAGCCTGGATAAAAACACGATGAGAAAAGAAGAGCGCGCAGAAGAAACTGTTCAGAGTAGGGGCAGCCAACTCAGATAGAAGGGGAGGCTCTTTCGGTGGGTGTTGTTCGCCATTTGTTCGTAAATTTTTCAGTGGCCGATTCAGCCATTCAATGATTCAGTTGGCCATTCCTGCAGTCATTCAAGCAACCAAGCACTGATGCACGTCATCAACCCTCCTATGGACCCTTGATCCCCTGTAGCTGCTGAATTTCTATCGAAACTTTCGCCCGGAGCGGCCGGGCAGTATTGCTAGAATCTGATGACACGCCCCTCTGGGAGGCACATTTGATGACTTTGATGTTTGTGATTTGCTGGGTGTCCGTTTGACAAAGAAAACGGGGCGAAATTCAACTTTTTCAAATCTTTCAGCTGTGACATTTCTGCTTCATCTGAAATTCATCTGCTCGCGGAAATATCAATTTCAGAACCGTGAAAACAGGTGAGGCCTTGGCCAATGCCGTCGAAGGCTCAAGCGGCATCGACGCTCGGCAGGGACCCCCGCGTAAAAGGGCCAATTTCAAAATCAACCGGTTAACGCGTTGGTTAATACCGATTATTCATGTTAATTACGGTTAGTTTATCTCATTTTGAGTTCCCGGGCTACCGAATCCAAGTCAGAAAATGCGCTCAGGTGTTGGACAGGATGGGTGTGCAAATGAGCAGCATGGTCTTTGCTGAGATGCTACAGTCCACTGCCTCTGGACACGTGCCCAGGTTTCACCGGTTTTATTTGCGATTGCCAATTTTTCATCGGCTTTCTCATCAAAACTATTTAGTATATCATTTGTTGTTTGTTCCAATAGAATTTGGTTTGTCTTTCTTCTGCCAGCTTCACGATATGCTGAGTCGTGCCATTGCGCGCAAATATGTCAAAACCTGCTTTCTCACCGTGAACTCCCAAGGTAGCATTCGCTATCGGAGGTGCTGAGGGTTTGCGACTTCCAGCGTCGTGGCTGTGGGACCCTTAAAGTATAGCCTCAAAGGTTTCACAGATTTTACGCATTGTTTCACAATGTTTCACAGATTTTCACAGATTCAATGTGCATGCAAGCGCTAGTCTGTGCTATTGAACATTGCCGAACTTGTTGAATCCTGCCCCGGCTGCCCCGAACTCGTGTGGCGCTGAAGGCGCATTTCTTTGAGCCAGATGACTTGGCCCCATCGCTTAGCCCGGCTGCTGCTGCTGGAGCAAATCTTCCGCTCCCGGGAAATTTGGGCACAATCTGGCTACCACAAGTAGTTCCCAAGCAGCACCCAAGCGGGTCTGAATATTCGGCCACATCCGCATACTGCCAGGTTTCTGTGCATGGTGTGGGCAAGATCAGCTTGGCCACTTTTCCTTGAAATGGCTGATGCGGGGTAAGTCGGGTAAGTCAAAAGTGATAGGTTCAACTCAGGTAAGACCAGGAATGACGAGAGAAAAACTGAAGAAATGCCAAGTGCAACGAAACACTACTACTGTAGAACATTGATTACTCGTCGATTGCTATCTCTTTGTACAGCAAGCATTGCACCCAGTGCACTGCGTGACGTAGTTCGAGACACTTTTTGATGTGGTGCGCATTCTGTCATATTTTGCCCTCAGAGTTCATCCTGTTTGGCGCGTCATCGTTGTGTGCCAAAAATCAGGTTGCTCACTGCCACCATTTTCAATGCAACGGAGCCAAACACCATCGGAATCCTTCCGATGGCGGCGAACTCAGCCTGTCAACTTCTTGAAAGATCTTGAAAGAATGCCAAATGAAGCAGAATCAAGACTGACAGTCAAGATTGATAGCCACGAGCAGAATCACAAGAGCACAACATCATGAAGCGCTTGCTTTGTGAAAGAGGGAAAAATCACATGAAAGAATTGCGTATCAAAGGGTACCAACATGCCAATCATTTTAAGATTTATTGTGCTTGAAAGAAATGGATGTTTACTATACCCATTCTTTCTTATGTGCATTTATGTAGTATCCCTCCTGTCGGGTCATCACTTATAACTCTTGCCAATACTTTAGCCCAAGAATGCCCATAGCAAAAGCTGCTGCCGCACTTGTGTTTTGTGGTGTTTTGGTTTCTGGGGGAAACATTCATTGTTCAATTGGTTATGATAACCAACCAATTTATTTTTTACATTATTTCGCAGTTTAACGATCTTTGTAACTCAAATTCAGTTACTGTGGAAGATATGAATCCTAGAGCAGGTTAAATGTTTGAAAGATTCAGCCATGAACGATTCAGCCAATCATCAAATCCCGTTTCTTTGCAACGTATCACAACGATCTGAGTTGGTTTCAACATATTACATTTCAAGACTGGTAATTTTCAAATTGTTTCAAAGTCATTCAAAGCTGTTGATGCCTAACAATGTTCATATTTTAATATCCCATGATTCCTGGTTGATACCCCCATTGTGAGTCATCCAGCACTGGCTTCCCAACTAGTAATGCAGTGAAGGAGCTGCCCCGGTACAGGAGACCAAGAAGCAGACGGTGCGCCTTGAGGGTCTACACGAGTCATTCGATGAGTCAATGAGGCTTGTTGGCTGCACAAGGACCCCCCACCATCGCCATGACGCCTCCACAAAACGCATGAACTCATCTGCTTCAAAGATCATGATTGGGAAAGATGAAGATCATGATGACATTGTAAGGCTCGCAATGGTTCAGTTTTGCAAAATGTGTTCCGAGAGCGCTTTTGAAGATGTTTGAGTCCTGAGCAGGACTTTGCCAAGAACCTGTCGTGGGAGGCAAGGCGTCTGAGATCAATGGACAAGTGAGGCTGAACATACGCAAACTCATGGTATCTCGTGGCAAAAGGCAGCATGTCCAGTTTCTTTTCACTTGCTCTGAACCTCGGGCTCAAACCGGGTCAGCCAATTTTTTGGCTTCAGTTCTCTGTCAAGGTAGACTCGGTCGGTGGTGGTGAATCGCATCATGGCCTTGCGCCTGCGTATGTTTGTGGCATTCTTGGTGTGCTGCACTTTGACTGGGGCTGGGGTTGGGCTCTTGGAAGCCTTTCCTGTGGCCGCAGCAGCTGTGCTCATCACCTGCAATGCTTTGGTGGGCCTCGTGATGTTCTTGGTCCTCTTTCGGAAGGAGATGCCATCTCTCGAATCATCCCAGTCACCAGAACCTCACCTTCATTGGAATCCTGAGATTCCGCGGCGTGGCATGGGGGATCTCATTCGGAGCGTGAACCACATTGCCATCATTGTCTCGGACGTGGGGCGTTCCTTGGCCTTCTACACAGAGATCATTGGCTTCCAGCAAATCCAGCGGCCCAACTTTGATCGACATGGTGCATGGCTCACCATGGGCAATTTGGAACTGCACTTGATCAAAGGAGTTCCCAATGCTCCATCTGGTCGTGATTTGATCGTCTCTCACATCGCCCTGGACACCAATGAGCCACACAAGGTTTTGGAGAAGTTGCTGGAGTACGAGGTGCCGTTTCGGCAAAACATTTCAGTGCCTGATCCTAAGAAGGCCAGAGAGAACTTGGTGGAAGCTTTTGAGAACAGTGAAGGGAAGATCACACAGTATTTTGTGCGTGACCCTGATGGCTACTACTTGGAGCTTTGCAACTGCGACGTCCTCACGGCCTTTTGCCTCTTCAAGGAGAATGCCAAAGAGAAGAAGCCAGGCTACGCCCCGAAGTACAAGAAACTCATGGATGCCATGCTCAGCACATACAATGAGTCTGGGCAGGCGAAGGCTTCTTCATTCCGCTTTCCCCAGCTCTTGAAGACCACTGTCCTCATTCACCGCCTTGTTCGCAAGGCACGTGGAGAGTTGAAGAAACCTTTTCAGGAGCGGGTGGAGAAAGCACTCGAGGGAGTGGAAGAAGCAGCAGTGCCTGATGGTCAGCTGCTGGAAAAGTTTATTGGGCGCCAAAAGACCTACTGCGACATTTGCCAAGGATTCTCAGAAGAGGACTTAGCATCGGCTCTTTGCAAGAGTGGGAACTACGCCCCTACAGCTTTGCTTCTGTTGGCGGCCTGCCGCCAAGATGTCCGAGTCTTTTTTCCCCCTCAATACCTCTTGAGTGAGGGTGGAAGGATCAAGCAGCAAGTCATGGCAGTGTCAGCACCCACAAGATCCACAAGAAAGAGCTTCGGTTCATTCAGCATGTTTGCTTCAAAGCCTTTCGAAGATGCTGACGGCTCCGTAGGGAGCGGGAGCACGCGATTGAGTGTGTCCAGCAGGGCAAGTTTTCTGAGCCGCATTTCCGGCACTCACCAGTCTTCAACCCATGATGAGGAGAAACCCAAAGAACGCCGCAAGAGCGGCCTGATGCTGGCTTTGGCCTTTGACGACGATGCCAAGATGCAGAGCTACCTCAGCAGGAGCTCGAGCTTTGCTCGTCGTGAAGCTCAGGTATCAGAGCCGGAACAGGAAGAGATTTGTGTGTGATGGAGTCAAGGCACTCAGTCAGATTCAGTCAAGTCACTCAGTCAAAAACTGTAGCAGGCTGACTCTGTCTTACTTCGTTTGCCCACGCTGAGAGCTGGTTTTGGCCAGTTTTTTTAAGTCAGCTTTTTTGGCAAACAATTGTTGGCAAGTGCTGGCATTCAGTTTTTTTCCCCGCAAGCTGACTGCCTAATACCATATTTATAATTCTTTCTGAATACATACATCGCATCACAAATATATATGCGAACCCCTCCCGAGCAGCCTCAGTGGCAGCCGGGTATACCTCTTCGATCCTCTTCGCTGTCCTTCGTCCAGCCAGAAAGATCTTATGCCTTATGCCGCTCGGGCCGCTCGACTGGTTTCCAAGAGTTTTGTTTGAGTCTCAAAGGGCTCTGCTCTTACCTAGAAGTCCTCAGAGAGAGCGAATTGCTGTGGACACAGAACTCTGATGCACTTTGCATGTGTGTCGGAAAAATCTGTGAGCGATTCAATCCCTGGACGTGCAGGTGCGGCGGATTCCAATGTCGTCCTTGGCTCAGTTTGCAAGTGGGATGCGCCAGTTGAACTGTGGGAGCAGTTCCAGATTCGGAATCCACCTAGCACAGATGTGGGTCAAAACCAACAGGACTAAGACTGAATCGATGGACATCAACACCATGTTGTTTCTTGCTTGTGACATTCGGACGAGTACTTGACCCACCACCAACCCCATCTCTTTAAGAGTTTCCCACGTTTCCTTGGCACCCGGAGGGGCGTTTTTTTCCCCGCTCGCTGAGGTTCGGACCCGGGTGAGGTCGAAAGTTCGAAGCTGGCACCCTTTCGGGTGGCGAAGGTGGGCCACATGCAGGGTCGATGGGTCAGAACGAACCTTTGCGTCTTTTTTTTTTAAAGTTTTCATTTTTGTGAAACACATCAAGACAAATTCAGTTCCTACAGTCACAATTGTATTATTTCAAGGCAGACAGAATTAAAACATGTCAAAGAATCAAACCGCGAGCGATTTTGATACATCAAAAACAACCATAAAGTGTACAGGTTTAATGCACATAGGATTTGGGAGCAGTGCGTGCTGTGTACATTTTTTTCGACGAAGAATGAATAACCAAAGCTCCCAGTCGATCAACAAAAATCATTTCATTTCTGCAGATGTTTGGAGATCGGACATGATGTTCATTTTTTTCGAGCAGCATTTGCGATATGATGCGATATGTTTTCCTGTCATGTCTTGCACTCTTGCTTTTCACCAATACCGATTCCAATATAGCATGAAAGCAACGCTTTTAGCTTCGTTGCATGCTATGTTTCCTTCATGATTTTATTTTGCAAATTTAACTATTGCCGGTCCTTCCCTTTCAGGGGGGGTGCTATTGCCATTACTATTGTTGAAATTTGTTGAACAGTTTTTTTTCTTTTTTAAAGGATTTTAAATGTAAGTTCTTCAACTGCAATCGCTAAGAACGGGAAGGAACTCTCCTCTAAGTCCGGCGTGTATCGTCCCAATCAACTTGCATGACACAATGGACCTAGAAGTTTGATTGGAAAGATGTTTGTGTTCTTTGTGTGGCTTCGCTGCTTCCCATTGCCCACGATAGGCAATTTTCATCAATTTTTGTGATCGATGAGGTGGGGGTTTGGCATGTCATGGAGAGCCATTCGACATGCTACTGTGGAAGATATGAATCCTAGAGCAGATTAAATGTTTGAAAGATTCAGCCATGAACGATTCAGCCAATCATCAAATCCCGTTTCTTTGCAACATACCACAACGATCTGAGTTGGTTTCAACATATTCATTTCAAGACTGGTAATTTTCAAATTGTTTCAAAGTCATTCAAAACTG